ATAAAGCACTTCCTCTGTTCTATTTTATGTGACACTCTTTCTTGTTTAGTCAGTCCAAAAAGAATGACATCTTTCTACATTTAGAAACAATTATACTTTAAATTTTTTATTTTACCGTTGATGAGATGATATATAGCCATACAAAGTCTATGACTTGTTTAACACCACCTAAACTCCATGCCCAATCAAACACCGTACATAAATTAGGACAGAGGGGACAGAGGGAGTAATAAGTTTATTCTTGTTGTGAGGAAGCACCAATATACAAGTGGCATTCCAAGATAATGTAGAACCTATAAAAAGATATAGTTCTCTACACAGTGACACCAATTATCTACACTAACAAGGACCTTGTCGGCTCACCAAGTATGCACCAAAAAGAAGAGACAACAACTAATACAAGAGATCATTTTTTACGAATGCTCCCTTGTATTCTTCTATCTCCAATGTACCCACATAAAGAGCTACAGGGGCTATGTTCCATGCTCGACATCTCCTTCTACGTTTGGTTGTCCATCTATGAGCTATGTATCTTATCCTGAATTATACTCCGCATTGACCACTATACTCTAAACAGGTTCAACATTGTCCACTACAGCTAGTTTTAGACTTGGCCATCCACAATTGTCACTTAACTGTTAAAATCATTTTTTTTTCTCCTTCACATTTTCAACTATCCGAACCATCGCTCTTCTTGCTAGACACGAGAACTAACATGCCTTTGCATCATGGTAATTCAAACTGAAAACTACGATCTGGTAACATTTGTTGCGATAGTTTTGTGTTAGCTCTCCAATATTTTGTATACCATTTGTGTACCAGTGTTTGCCCGCCGTCAAAAAGTTGTTATTTTGTCCAATATATAATGCACAATTAATACATATACACACACACATTTATATTTATTATACTATACTAAAAGTAGGAAGGCCTCAAGTCAAAAGTTGAATTACAAAAATATCCTTCAAATTTTGTTGACCTTTTTGCCCTTCACCAAAGTAAAAGTTACCTTATACTCAATGTTTAAGTTAATTAATATACATTAAAGCAAACTAAATCATATATTAACCAACATGACTTTTCGTAAATTTGTAGAACTGGCGGCTCAGCAGTGTTTTTGGCCTAAAGCCAGCATTGATGAGAGGCCTTAAGCTTTATTTTAAACAAAATCATTTATATATGTGTGTAACATTTTGAGATGCAAAATTATTTAAGAACTTTTTATAATTGATTTCTCCTAATAATCTTTTATGGGACTGTATTACAATTTTAACCCTTTTCTTTTGGTTTTGAACAAATAGATTCATATTGTTTAGTTGGCATTTAAATTCCAACAAATGATTAAAAAGACTATATATAACTATTAACTATGAAGTAAAAATAACAAATATGAGATAATAATAACATCTGAAGTTTAGAATAACAGAATTAATTCAAGAAAATTGATGACTTGATTCTAAAATATCTTATTGCTCCTTCAATAACTCGCAATGCTTGAAACGCGGGGAGAAAAAGAGTGGCACAGTATATTTATCAATAGTACTCTTAAGCTATGATTTTTCTAAGAATAATACTACTAACTTATCATACAAGAATTCGGAAAAAGCAAGAAAGAGAATATCAAAGAGTATAAATGTTATGTGAAAGATTGACTCTTTGACAAACCAAGAAAGAAGTGAATAGTATAAAAATATAATTTTGTACTACATATTTTCTGATGATAAAAATAAAGGTAAGAAGTAGAATACAGTGATTTCACTTGTTAGATTTTTTATCCACCGAAAAAGTTTGGATAAGTGATTCACATTTACCAAACTTTTACTCAAATCTACTACTTCCTTTTATAAAAATATCTACTTTTCTATTTAAAAGTACTCATTATTTTCCAAAAAAAATTAACCTATTAGCCTATTTTTGGTAAAAATGGGCCCCCCTCAAAATTTGGGGGCCTCAAGCATATGCTTTAGTTGCTTGATCCTATTGCCAGCCCTGTAAAGATCAAATTCATCTACCAAATGCAACTTATAATGTATTTCCCATCCAGGTTTATCTTTTCGTTTCTCATTTTCAAAAACCACACTATATATCTTTCTGCAAAAATACTTGTTTTAAAGGTGTGAAACAAACCAGTCAAGTTGTCAGGCGTTAAAGTTGAAGCACTTTGGATTTTCGTGTGATTGGTTGAAAAACTTGCCGCTTCATACTCTGTACCAAAAGTTACAATCATGTATTGCAAACCTATCTTCTTCTTAACTTTGAGATTGAATTGCCACTCCCATTTTTTAACAACAGGGGCAAAACTACGTATGGGGGGGGGGGGGGGTACAATCGACAATCCTCTTTGCAAAAAAATATTTCAATTTATATGTATAAAAATATATTGCAAAAAAAAGACAAAACTCCTTATATATAGTAAACTAATGAACATGCTTGACATCTACAATAGTTGTGGAGCAATGGTTGATCGGGTTCAAAATCTCCATAAGTTGTGCTGATTCATTTTTCCTCCCCTTTTCCCAATTGTCAAGTTTTTTTTTTTATACATATAAATTATTGATATTTACCTTGTCGAATTTTGAACTTTTGTTTATTTGAGAAAAATAAAAATTATAAGCCCGCGTATATGGTTTACTAATCCGTTATTGACGTATATATTTCCTTGGATAGTTTATATAATAACGTATATATTTCCCGCCAGCAAAACTTTCTTTCTTCTATAGTTCTATTACACTTTCTTAGTTGTATTTACTTTATAGCTCTCTTTTTGTTTTGTGTTACTTTAGTTTATTATTTATGCTCTTTGAATTTACTTTAGAATTTTTTAGTACGTTATAATTTAACAAATTTAAAGTAAAAAAACTAGAGTAATTTTTTTAAAGAAATATGTATCAAAATGCACTTTGTTTGCCAAAAAGGACTATTTTTACATTTTAAAAGTGGTTATAGATCATAATTTTAATTTTTAACGTATTTTCCAGTTTTAGTATAGAAAATTAAAAATTTTACTTTGTGTTTTCTTAAATCAGGTTCTACTTTCTTAAGTTCACTTATTTTTTTCTTATCTATTACTACTTCATGTGACTTTTGATAAAGTTCAGCCTCTATAAATAATAGAGTAGACAATCACTAAAGTGACGATCTCAAGATATTTAACTGAACATACATATGTGTTATGATTATGATAATATATGTTTAAAAGAAATTATTATTTCTTTGTCATAATGCAAATTAGTTGACATGCATATAAAATACATGCATGAAATCATATAAAGATCACTTCAAGTAATCGAATTATATGCATGGATGGTATCATTCGGAAAGATCATATCTCATACTTGAAAGTTGCTATGTCATTTGAGATTACGACAACAACAACAACAACAACATACCTAGTGTGATCCCACAAGTGGGATTTGGGAAGGGTAGGGTGTACGCAAACCTTATCCCTATCTTGTGTGAAATAGAGAGATTGTTTCCCATAGCCTATAACTCATTGATATAATATATAAACTCAGTCCAATTCTGGGCACAACTTATTTAATAATAAAATTACAAGTTGACACTTACTGAAAAAGGTAAATATTCTCACATCTTAGATGTTCCTATTTCATGATAAAATGTGCATATCAAATCATATTGATATTACCTTGTGGACGCATAGTAGGATTAATTTGTGTTCTTTGCTTGACATGCATGCATATAACATGGTTTGGAGTTCATGTGTTAATATATAAAATGTGAGGGTTATTGTAAATTGCGTGTGAATTATTTGCAACTCAAAAATGGTGTAAAATGTTTTTGTGTCTCATGATGTTATAATGCATTTGAGACTTATGCTTATTTTCAGATGGTTTGATCATACAATAATTTTTAACATGTGGAGGCATGTCATATTTTTAATTTGGTTAGGATGATGTGTGAGAAATTTCATTCAAATGAATATTTTCATGAAATAAAAATCTTATAACAAGTAAACATGTATTTCTCATTTTTGATATATGAAATTTTGAGATGATAAGCCTAAATGAAACGGCGCAACAATTGCTATTGCAAATTCAAACAAAGGACTCAAATGAGCAAACGAGTACGTCCAGCTCGAGGTACAAAACAATTCCAATTTAAATATTTCAAAATGGAGTAATCGAGCTGGATTTTGTTCATGTTCAAGAAATATTTTCGGATCTGTTAACATAAAGACTTGCGAAAAGCAAGTTGTAGAGTTCTCAAAATGGATGGGACTAAAGCCTCACAATAAGTAATTACTTACGGTGGCAACCAACCTTTTTGATACGTGATCCCAAAATCACATGTATCTAATTAAGCTTTAATTATTTATTTTGTAGGTTTAGACAATATTCAATCATCTTGATCTTGACAAAAAAAAAAGTCTTCATATGATGATCCATTGATCATTAAGAAAAGCTCCTATTTTATTTTTTCATGTATAGTTATTTATCAATTTTATTTTAATAATACTTATATTATTTTACAAAAGCGTGTACAATATGACTCGGCATACACATGCGTTTATATTATTTTACAAAAGCGTGTACTATTATATTATTATACAAAAGCGTGTACTATATGACTCGTCATACACGTGCGTTCACGTGCTGAGAAACTAATAATATATATACACACACACATAAACACACTTACACAACATATGGAGAACTTTGTGTGTGGACCTAACTTTTGAAGTATAGAATTTCTGCTTCTTGATTCAAGATCTCATAAATTTGTAAACAACACACTTTAAACGGAAATTTGCAAGAAAAAGGCTCTTGAGCATTTGATTGTATCCAAGCAATTGCATTGTCTAGCGAAACTTATGTCGGATTAGTGTTTACGATTTTGTATAAAAGATTGGCCTGATTGTGAGAATGCAAACCAAGAACATCCTGCTCGTTTAGCTCTCGGGGAAGCCTAAAATGCCAGTTAATGTAGAATGATCGTGTCTTTTTCATCCTCATTTCATTTGGACTCTTTTTGGTTTGCAGAGACACAACACCAGTTTAACCAAAGAGAGAGTGACTGGGGCTTCACATCTTTCATGCTTCTAAGTGAGCTTTATGATACCAACAAGGGATATCTCGTAAATGATAGAGTTGTTATTGAAGCTGATGTTGCTGTACGTAAGGTCATAGATTACTGGACATATGACTCGAAGAAGGAGACTGGATATGTTGGGCTTAAAAATCAGGGAGCTACTTGTTACATGAACTCTCTCCTACAAACTCAATACCATATTCCCTACTTTAGAAAGGTTGGATTGTGTTTTAAGTTATTTAGAAATTGTAGACTCTTGGCACTGGTTTTCTTGAATTAAGTGATTCTCACCCTGATTATAATTCATCAGGCTGTGTACCATATGCCGACTACAGAGAATGATATGCCTTCAGGGAGCATTCCATTAGCTCTGCAGAGTTTATTCTATAAGCTCCAGTACAGTGATACGAGTGTGGCGACAAAAGAATTAACAAAATCCTTTGGCTGGGACACTTATGATTCATTTATGCAGCATGATGTGCAAGAACTAAATAGAGTTTTGTGTGAAAAGCTTGAAGACAAGATGAAGGTACAATTCAGAGAATATGACTTGCTCATTCTTGACATCTTGTTGAATCTTCTAATAATTGCTTTGGTCAGGGCACGGTTGTGGAAGGGACAATTCAGAAGTTATTTGAGGGCCACCACATGAATTACATCGAATGTATTAATGTGGACTTTAAATCGACGAGAAAAGAGTCATTTTATGGTATCTATATATACTTGTGTTTTCTGTAGAATCATAACTGGCCTGTTCATAGACTTACCTTTGCTCATTTTATGCACCTCTGCAGATCTTCAACTTGATGTCAAAGGCTGTCGCGATGTTTATGCCTCTTTTGACAAGTATGTAGAAGTTGAACGTCTAGAAGGCGATAACAAGTACCATGCTGAAGAACATGGTTTGCAGGTCTTGTACTCCTACTATTAGCATTTAATTGATGGCTTTATTTGGTGGGGATGTCCCTAGCTTTAATCTTAAGTATGGTGACCATTTATTTTCTCCAAAAATACGGTATTGTAAAGTAGAAGCTTAAGGTGGTGGTTGGATACTTCAAATCCAAAACCCCTGAACTTGAGCTCGTGATTTATTAACAGCTCTCGATAACCTTACACATGTGATATCTTTGAAGCAATAAAACTTTCAATCTGCTGGACAGGATAGGCATAAAATTTTGGAGCCTGATTCCTCCTTTCCTTTTCCTTTCAGTCTTTTGGGGGATGGTGGGGGTGCGGTTGTACAGGGTATCACATGTAACTGAAGATTGCAAAATGCATGGGGAATAATATGTTTAGTCTAAGGGGAGACATCTTATTTGAGGGGACTGAGGCAGAGGCTAAGGTTGGGTCCAAAATGCAATTGTGAAAGATATCACCAGTACGAGAAGGATTAGGGTGCCGATGTGTTGAACCTCTAAGAGCTTTCTGCATTTAATTCATAAGAAATTTAGAGACTAAGATAGAGTGTCGCAAAGGACTTCTTTAAGCCAGAAACTGTGTCGTATTTGTTGGCTTGTTTCTGTTACAAAAGTGGATTCTTGTTTTTATTTCAGGATGCTAAGAAGGGTGTACTGTTTATTGACTTTCCTCCAGTTCTCCAGCTTCAGTTAAAGCGGTTTGAATATGATTTCATGCGAGATACAATGGTTAAGGTTAGTACTTGCAAGTTTGTTGGCTTATGATTCCTATTCTTTGTAGATGACTTTATACTTTTACTTTTTTCTATTGCCAGTTTGGTTAGGCTCATGGTGGTTTTGTGTTTTCCCTACAGGGAATGGTGTCATTTCTTATTTTTTGCTTCAAGCATTTATAGTATACTTCTTCAGGGACCGCACTTGGCTTGCTAGTGAGAAAATGAGAGTGTTTGGCTAAGCTTATAAGCTGGTCAAACTAGCTTATAAGTACTTTTCGGCTTATCTACGCGTTTGGTAAAGTTAAAAGTGCTTATAAGCCAAGTGTTTATAAGTCAAAAATAAGCCAAAAGCCATAAGCTGGTCACCCCCAGAGAATTTTTAGCTTATAAGCACTTTAAGTTTGACCAAGATTTTTACTATTTTATCCTTAAAATATTCTTTTTTTGGAACAAAACTCTTACATCGATACTCACTGCCTCAAGTTCAAGTCTGCAATTCTCATTGACTATTTAAGATAAGCAAATTCTCTATTCCTTTGCATATTTGTATCTATCTGATTGTGTATTAATCTTTGAACTGTATGTAATAAATGAGGACATATTAAATTTTTGGTGTATTGCTTTCTAAGTGTTGTGGTGATGAAGACAGTGTTTGTTTCTCTTCAAATATTTTGCTTGTCCTATTTAGGTTTATTTTTTACTGAGAAACTTTTGTCAATTTATTAATTATAATCATAAAATAAATTATATTTATCATAAAAGTTATCATATCTAAGCACAGTTGTATTTAAAATAAAATGAAAAATAGAACATTTTGTATTTGAATTGATCTGGAATCTAAAATTTTGAAGAAATTACGCCCTTATAAGTGTAAACAGTTCTAAGGTTATTTAAGTCATTTTAATAGAAAAAGAGCTTATCAGTACTTTTTTACGTAACTGCTTATTTATTAAAACAGTTTCAGCACTTAAAAGTGCTTTTCAGCACCTAATGCTTATCAGCTACTTCAGATCAGCTAATCCAAACGGGCTCAATGTAGAAAGAGAAAGCATTAAAAAAATCAGAAATTACAAAGTAAGAAAATCAAGGTGGACAAGCGTCAGTCACAAAGGGTTTTTCTTGGGTTCATTATCTGTCAAAAGTCCAGACCACAGTATTTACTTATTCAATGCGATGTTTCCCTTTTCTCCCATCTGTGAGGTCCTGTATTTGGAGGTCGGGGGTGGGTTATTTTCGATGATAGAGTTTCTTATTTTTAGGACTACAGTTGGCTAATGTGGGTGCTGTTCTGTCTATGTTCATAAATCTTTTCTACCAGTGAAAGGATATCACCGGAACTTTTACTATGACTGTCTGTTATATGATGTCTTTCTAATTATCAAAAAATGTAATATGTAAGGTAATTTCACTATTACTCCTTGTTATATGATGTGTCGATTGACCCCTAATAGTTCTTGTGATTGACTATTACCTTTATTAAGCAACAACCCAGATGACACCTCTTACTAGTATGCAACTAATAATTTTCCATTTCTGTTTGAACTTCGGAAACTAAGAACTTTAGTTTTCACTGTTAAACATCATCCACTTTGAAATGTCCTATATTATGTGGATTCTTAATGTGCCTTGACATACCTGTGTTAAATGGCTGCAACAAAGTATGGATACTTCATTAATATCCTTCAAAACATATAAAACATGCTTAAAATTGATTTATCTATGTCAGATACTTGTCCTCACTCTTTCTACATTCATATACTGGAGTCCATGTAATGCAGGAAATATCTTGCGTCTGAAACGTTGCTTAAGTATTCCCCTAATATAAATGAAAGAGCATTTAGTCTTGTAATTATGGTTTCCAGGTTCTGTCTATGGCACCTTGATAATGTTTCCTTCTATGGCACACAGATAAATGACCGCTACGAATTTCCTCTGGAACTTGACCTTGATAGGGAGAATGGCAAATATTTATCTCCCGATGCAGACAGGAGTGTTCGAAACCTCTATACACTTCATAGGTAAACTTAACTCTCTCTCTCTCTCTCTCTAAGTTTACTCTCTCTCCCCATTGCATGTACACCCCAACAATGACTAACACGCAATGACAAATAAACACGTGTTCCCTTTGATTTTTTTTACTTTTTGTGCATAACATAGTTGCTGCAAAACACACCTGCAGTTTGATGTCTGAATTATTTGTGCTTTTAACCAAATAGGTATCATCTAAACATGCTTGTGGCTATAAAGCATTCATTATTATTTTAATAAATTACTCTATCCCATATTGGTTGACACTATTCAATGTCCCACGAAGTTTAATATAATGATTTGACTTGTCTAATAGTGGGAGAAATTATTAAAAGTAATGGATTAAATGTTGGTTTTATTTTTTATATCTATGGTGTCTGTGCCAGCTTGCATGCACCTACCTTGCTATCTCCCACTATGATGTCTGTGTCAGCTTGCATGCACCTACCTTGCTATCTTCCACTAGCACAAGTGCGGGGAAACTTTGCCCACCAAGGTTTAGGCAGAAAAGAAGAAATTACTTAGTGTATTAATCTATATTGGGATTTGAACCTTGGTCTCGAAGATTTGCACCCAGTTCATTGATCACTCAAAGTTGTATGCAATTATACTATTAGTGAAATGGTGTCTAATGTTTTGGAACCTTTGGAAATGGAAATGTATCATATAAAATTGGATAAAGGGAGTATATGTTAATCTAGTAGTGTCTCAACCATACTGCTAGTTTTATGTTTAAAACATAATGATAAATGGTATCTCATTGTTCTGAGGTCGGATCTGCATTTGGTTTGTATTATTTGGATTTGGTCTTCTTGGTTTTGGATAAATGTAATCTAGTCCAAATTGAACTGGCTTAGTTCTGTTTTTTTCTTTATGGTTCGGTTTCTTATATTTCTCTCTTTACGGTTTGGTTTTTCTGCTTTTTTTTGGGATTTAGAAAGTACAACTTTTCTCTTTTTAAGTGCTATCATTATTAATGCTTATTTAGCTATGAGATTGAGTAAAATAATGTATATCACAAACTTATTGTAACTACAAACTAGATGGGGTCATAAACTTATTGTAATTTAAATGCTTTCTGGAAAAAGAGAAAATTTCATGAAACAACAAAATGTGGATTGTCTTAAGGAGTTTTTTTATGGAAGAGAGATACTTAAACAAATATTTTATCAAGCAAACTAATAAAATTTTATCTTATATTTTGAAAACCGCCCTTTTTAATTTTCACTATGACCAATAAACATAGGAAAATAAAACCATCAGGAAATCACTATGACCAAGAAATATTGGAAAATGAAACCACCATCCAGATGCTTAACTCACTTCCATATTTAACACTATAAAAAATGACAAACTATAGCAAACAAATAAAGAAAGATAGAATCTTAGTACTCAATACAAAATTACAAATAAATTAAGTATTATTTGAATATACATTTACATTAGTTTTTCTCTAAGTTCCATACGTCCAAGCCAACCATTAAGTAGCTCACAATTGCGGAAGTAAGGAATTGAGAAAAACAAAAAAGACTGGAACTCTGAAAAAAATGTTCAGGTTTAAGCAAATTTATTAATCCTAACTCTGTAAGCATAAGATATTTAAATTCAATATTTAAATTCGATAGTTAGATAGTAGGTAAGTATTCTGTTTTTTCAGTTTTTATTTCGAGAAATCCGAAGCTATATGGAAAACCAAAAATCTTAAATTTAACTATCCAAACCACACCCGAAAACCAATATTTTCTATTTGGTCTGGTTTATCGGTTTAATCCAAATTAGTGCACACTCCTGTTGAGAGGTTTGGCTAACTCGTTAATAGATTGTTTATCACAATTTTGTTTAATGGATGTGGATGCTTCTCATATTCTGATGTTTTAGACATAATCTGTTGTTAGATGCAGGTACTCAAAATGTTGTTCTTTTCTCTTTAATGAAATGAGATAAACTACAGTTTCAAGCCACTATATTTTGTGCTTATGGACTTACCTAGATGAATCCGACCTTGGTTAGTATATGATAATGTTATGGTGACATTAGTTTTATCTTTAGGCTAACTGCGTTTCTGGCTCTTTTCTCTTTCTCAGTGTTTTGGTTCATAGTGGTGGGGTGCATGGTGGACATTATTATGCTTTCATCAGGCCGACGTTATCAGATCAATGGTATGCTTTCCTTCGTCTCCGTTTATATTTCTTTTAATCCCCCACTTAGACTCGCTGACAGGCACATAACCCCGTGACACGGCTTTGCTCATGCATTCAGAAATCATTGATGTATGTAATATTATATACTATAAGAATGTTGAGCTCTAGGAGAATCCAAAAATACCTTCGTCACCTCTATTTCTAAGATTCTGTTGTTGTAACAGCTCACTTTCGTCAAACCCTCAGGGGTTGGCCTGGTGGCAATAGACTTGAGCCTTGGGGTTTGCTCCCTTTCAAGGTCTCAAGTTCGAAACCCACTGGGTGCAAACAATTTTTGAGGGCCATCGGACTTGGTAAAACCTGAATTAACCGTGGTGCACTTGCGGGAAACTCCTTGCCGAGGGCCTGTGCACCCCCGGGATTAGTCGGGGCTCTTAGAGACTCGGACACCCGGTGCAAATCAAAAAAAAAAAAAAAAACCAGCTCACTTTCGTCTAGTTTAGTATGATTACAAGACACACCTCCTCTCCCGTTTATAGAAACTCAAACTGACAGCCATTTTACTAAAAAGGACCATTGACGGTTGCTAGAATATCTGAACGACAATTATATCCTTCCTTGATTACTTGTATTTGTTTTCTCCTTCTCCTTCTGTAGTGCAACCTTCACTTTTTTCTTCCAAATTCCTAACAAAATTGTATACTTAATCTCTTTTTTTGTATTTCTCTCGTTGAAGAGCAAACACTTTTTAGCACTTCTCTCGAGTCAGAAATAAATAATTTTATATTCTGAACTCTATCTAAGGAAGACAGTCTGAAATTAGTTAAATTATACAGCCAGTAGAGAAATATTTCTTTATCATGATGTCTTGCTTCTGTTAGCTGGGTGGAAAGGAAGAGAATTTTAAATTGGTATTTTCAGCACGTGTTCCTGTATATTATTACTTAATAAGAATATAATTGGAAACTATTTTTAAAGATAAATTAGGATTTTACTTGGAATAATAACAAATTAAAGTTAAGCCTAATGTTATACCAAGAAGAATGATACTGATCAAGTGGGAGAAGGGAAGTTTTGGCAATATGTCATTAATTTCAACTGAAATCATATTTTCTTGGTCAACCTTTTACCAAGAAACAAGTGTAGTGGAGGTCTTTATGATGGAAGTTTTAAAACATGGATGTTGCCGTGAGATTTAAACATAAGATTTTGGCCGCTTAATATTCATAAACTAGAGGAGAGGTAGCCGTAAGGTAAAAAAGAGCTGAGTTGGTTTGGGTGGGGTGATGAGAAGAGGGGCTGCATCTACATGTATAGCTTTGTTGTGGGGTCAGATATCATGAAGAGACTATTACTAGGTAGTTCTTATATGTGAAAAGGCACGCTTCTGTGGGTAAGACAATTAAAGTCAATGTCATTTGAGTTTTCAGTAGACAGCTATATTTAGCCAATGCTGGTAAACTCTGTTCAATGTGATCTGTTGTTCTATGATAGGTACAAGTTTGATGATGAACGGGTGACAAAAGAAGACATGAAGAGGGCTTTAGAGGAACAGTATGGTGGTGAGGAGGAGGTATGTCTCAATGATTCTATAAATTTGTGTTTCTGTGTCCATACTTTGGTTTGGATTCACTTTTGCTTTTGTGCAACAGTTGCCACAGACAAATCCAGGTTTCAATAATGCTCCCTTTAAGTTTACAAAATACTCAAATGCTTACATGCTGGTTTACATACGTGAGAGCGACAAGGATAAAATAATATGTGATGTGGATGAGAAGGACATTGCAGAACATCTGAGAGTAAGTTTTAAGGTTTGCCTGGTCTAGAAAAATATTGTCCACTCCATTACTCGGTTTACATATAAATAAATGCCTTTTTGATCCTCTTAGATAAGGTTAAAGAAAGAACAAGAAGAGAAAGAGGACAAGAGAAGATACAAAGCGCAGGCCCACCTTTATACAATTATCAAGGTTATTTTGAGAAGTTAAATTTCTCATTAAAAATTGATCTGTCTCCTACAAAATGTTGTGTTGAATCCACTCGTGTTTGTAGGTTGCACGCGATGAGGATCTTAAGGAACAGATTGGAAGGGAGATATATTTTGATCTTGTGGATCATGACAAAGTTCATAGCTTTCGGATTCAGAAACAGATGCCTTTTAACCTTTTCAAGGTACTGATTACTTTCTGTTTGTCATTGCTAACTGATCACGCCCAACTATGCCTTCTAAAAGACAAAGCGGTCGTTGCAAATATAATCCGGTTTTAAGTCCGGAGTCGAATCCTCAGGGAACTAACCTATCTATTACAACTCTTTGGCAATGCTATTATCAACTCAACCAATTTCTAGATGCAAGATTTTTATCAATCAATCTTGGGTTTTTGATTAACTACTTCAAATAATATCAGAAATAACAATATGCTAGATTAAAGATAATTCAATGGTAAAAAGGTCTAGGGCAGTGATTTCCCCAATTGCTAGTTTAGATCTTGACTCTTTCGCTATAATCTCACCGTATTACTCTATGAGGATTATGAGCTATGGGTTATCGTAATTATCTCTCGATCAACTACGATAATTTACTAGAGCATTCTGTCGAACTACTCTAGCTGACACTATGTGCAACTCTAATTTATCCCACCAAAGCTTCGTTATCTCTAAACCCACTTTTAAGTTCAAGTAATGAATCTCTTCAATTACCCAAAAGTGATGTTGTTCAACAGCAGTCTAACCTAATGTTCTTTATCAAGCAATAGGAGGTAATTAGACACGATTAATCAAGGGCCCATTCAATTAATCACCATACAAAACGTAGTTGAACAATCATATAATAAATCCGGCTCGATTATAACAAGTTGAGTCAAAACTTCAACCAACAATTGGTTCCATCAACCCTAGATAATTGTTTAGCTACTCATAACAAAATAAGATAAAACTACAAAGTTGTTCATAATGTATAATTGCAAGAATTAAAAGGAGATAGAAAAACTCTAATGTTTGGTTGATCTTCTCACACTTGTTCTTGCCTCCAAAGTAGTCTAAAAACAAGCTTGATAATGTCTTGGGCGAGCTTCTAGAGTTTATAAGGGTTTGGACTAAGTTTTCCCCGAGTTACACTTTGTTCCCCAAATTTTCTGGCAACTGAACAGTTCACCGCGGCCGCGGCACGACCGCGGCGCGACCGTGGTGAAGGCTAAACATTCTGCCTCGAGTTAGTTGTCTGCCGCGGTCCAACCGCGGTCCCACCACGGTCGCGGTGGATTTCACCTCAGTCCATTTTTGCTTCTTTATGCTCGGGTGCTTCTTGATTGGACGTTTTCTTCACATTATTGACTCCAAAACACTCCTTAGTGCTTCCTAACTTAGATTATTCCCTGCGAAGCAAAAGAACACCAATTAGAACATTTTGTTGTCAATTTGCCTATAAAACAACAATAAAGCATGGTAATATTAAGGTGTAAATGTCATCTATATAGCCTAATATCAACACCCCTAGTCCTCGAGCAATCCACCACACTCTTTCAAAGTTCTTTCCCTAAGCTTTTCCCTTAATGCATCACACCTTGAACAATTTACCAAAGTTGCACCTAGTAGTGAACAACCTTTGCCTCAGAAGTCGAATCTCTCGTACCATGCCATATTCGCACTTACTCAAACTACTCTATACAGAAGTCAAGACTTACGTTTCCTTCGTGAATCACATGCCCTCACATCACACAAGAGAGTAGTTCCACAATTAATATGATTAAGAACAATTAGGAACTCAGATGGACAAAATTCGCTCTCTCTCCAAAAGAACATTCACATGCCACAAAGATGCACCATAGGCTTGCCCGTAGTGTAATACTCTACTAATCGAGCCTATCCAGTCTAAGATCAATTAGGACTTCACTTGGTTGTAATGTAGGCTAAGGGATGGGTAGGATATATTTGGATATAGTGACTAACCTCCCTAAGCACTTTTAATACAAAACAAATTAACATTCCATATCATTCTTATGTCAACCAGACATTCCATTACAATTTATTTATAACATCCCATTCCTTTCGGTGTATTTGTATCAAGCTACCACTTATCAACTGCTACATTTATTCACAATTTTTTTTTTCGTGGCGCTTCTTCTTGTATTCTTCAAAGCTGCACCTCTCCTCTATTTCATTGGCTCCACTCAAAACCAAACCACCACCCCACACTTTAACTTTTGCATATGTCAAGGCCATTCAAGTGTTCATGGGAGGTAAAAGGGTTCAAACAGAAGGCTATTCAAACAATTGGGTAAGGTTCGCAATGTGGTTGCCAAAGAAACATGCTTATAGGCTCAACGGGGTTAACTATGATGTATTACATTCAGGTGGGTTTACGTTATATATCTGGCTTAACAAAGAAATGCCTATATCACTTCTAAGACTTAATGAAGCTACTATTTCGCTTTGCAAACACACAGGGCAAGTTCTAGGCATCAAATGTAAAGCATAGAATATAGTATAGCTCACACACACATGGCATATGACTCACTCCAGATTGATTTATCAAGACATTCTCTTTTGAGTGTTCAAGTCAGTTACAAACATACAACTTTAAGGCACTTTAGCAAGAGTCAACCATTGAGACTAGGCGTTACACTCTAGTGTCGATTGTGTTCAGGTGTATTAACGCCAAAGGGGTTCTCTTTCTATTTCAGCTCGTAGCCCATCAATGCTAACTAAAACTAAAAACAAAATAAACAAAAACTACCTACACCCGGTTCAAGATAAACCCTTGGAAAAGAACCGTGGCCCGAAGAAAAACCAAGGGGGAGTTACTACACTACCTAAAAATAAAAAATAAAAATCTTTTTGGTATTTTCTCTAGACTAACTTCCCTCAAGAACTGTCTCAATTATCCGTCATCAGGAAGAGTCCTTATATTCTTTTTTTTTTTGTTCGACTCATGTCCCTCAAGAGAGCTGTCGAAAGGTGTCCGTCTTTGGGCCAAGTCGAAGTTAATTACATGACCGTACCATACCAATCAAACAAAAATAAAGCAACATCATACAAAGTTACACAATCTATTTACAACATCATACAACAACAGCCATCCCCCACCCCACATTTAAAAATATGGCATGTCCCCATCTCAACAAATAAAGAGCAGAGTAGGGTAGGGGGACTTCCCTGAAGATCAATCCTGATCAGAGACGGTGCTAGGGTCGAGGTGACATGCTCGTCCTAGCGCTCGAAGCCATCCCATAATCTTCTTCTCCGACTTTGCCTGTTGAGTGGTTAGAGTGTCAACTCTGGTGCCCAAGTCTGTGACAGAAGTGCGGAGACCAGCCATTTCCTGCTCCAGGGCTGTCGGGCGGGTACTTCGGCGGGGCTGTGATGTGCCCGCCTCATCAACTCTTGTAGGTGGTGGGACCTCAGCTACCTCAGCATCATCATCATCAGATTCATCATCCGATTCATCAACATTCACCACTGGCTCTCTTCTAAGTCCGATTTTCCTTGCCAGGTACGGGGCTTTCAATGGCAGTTTCCCATCAACTCTAAGGTTTTCAGGGACTCTAGCAGCACGGCACAGTTTAGTAACCAGAGAAGGGAAGTAGAAACCTTTGAGTGTCTCAGGTGAGCGAATGAACATCTCCTCATGAATGAGTTGGGCCACATCAAAATCCCTGTGGGCCATGAAACAGTAGATCGCTGCCGCTCGTGGTTGATTGACATCGGTCGTATTGCTGGAGGGCAACAGCCGACTGTTGATAATTGTGAGCAATACTCAGCCTCCCAATTGAGAGACTGGAGTTAAGTGTGATCCGGTGCTTTATCCATATGTATTCTCTGTCTGGCACACAGATAGTTTCAAGAAGAGTTGCCCACAAGGCACTTGATCGGCTATAAGTACGATAATCATCAAATTTTCCCCTGAACACTGGCAGCCGGTACACCCTGCGGATGGCCCCGATGGATGCATTTACCCGGGTATTGCGTACAGTGACAACCCCATTCTCATGTTCTGGGCAGTTAGCACAGAATTCCCTTACCATCTGAACATTAGCCTCCTCCGGTTCCTCAAAGAAGATGTCCAGCTGACACCTCCTCAACTCATTGAAGATATTCGGGCATTCCACCTCTAAGGCTGCTCGGTCAATATGCACCTCATGTAACAATTTCTTAGCCGCCTTTGCATTGTACCTGTCCTCCGCCGGTTTGGAGACAAACCTAGTGCTGTCCTATGTTGCGCGGACTCTCCAAAATGTAACTGCACCCGTGTCGGATCCTTCAAAAATGCACTACTTTTGGAGGATCCGACACGTATCCGGCCACATTTTCGGAGAGTCCGAGCAGCATAGGTGCTGTCAAACTGTGGCGCACTGGCTTGACTCCTAGCTCTCGAGGAACTTCCCGGTCCACTAGCGGAGGATCCGGTGTTGCGTCTCTTTCTAGATGGATTCATTTTACCTGTCAAACAGAGAAACGCCTATCAGTGAGGGTGTGAGATGTGTGAACTATGGGTGGTTACTCAGACTTTACCACAACCATGTCACATTAGCCCTTATAACTCCATTGGGGCAATTCCCCAAACACCTTGTGAGCAAGACAATTCCTCACACATATAGCCCATATGGATACTTCAATGTTTCCCCCAAATCACAAGTTGTACTACACCATTACACCCCACAACAATTAGTTCAACACCCACAAACATACACCTCTCCACCACATTATACACATAACCCTTTACAAGTGACTACATAAACGAAATTCAAAAGAAAAAAAGAAAAAAAAATAACAAAAATCGACTAGAATTTCTACACAATTAAAAACATGAACTAACATACAACTAAAGTAAAATACAAAAGAAAAGGTAGGGGGGGAAGTGACATACCTTGACGGGGGAGGGATGGAGTGAAGAAGAAGAAGAAGAGAGAAGGACGAGCTCTTGGTTAGGTTTAGAGAGAGAGGGATTGGGAAAGTGAGAGGGGTAGGCGGGGGTTAGATAATATTATTAGAGGGGTGGGTAAAAAAAAGAATTAGAAAATAAAAGAAGAAGAAAATAAAGAAAAGAAAAAAAATGAACAAAAAAACTTACCTGGGTACGCGGTCCCACCGCGGTCGCGGTGGGTGTAGTAACGCGAAACAGAATGTTTGCGTTTCACCGCGGTCCTACCGCGGTCCCACCGCGGTCCTACCGCGGTCCCACCGCGGTCGCGGTGAATCGCACAATGGCGAGACAGAATGTTTTCATTTCATCGCGGTCCTACCGCGGTTCCACCACGGTCGCGGTGCGAACTTTTTTTTTTTTTTTTTTTTTTTTTTTTTTTTTTTTTTGATGACTTACGTAAGACAACAAAATTACAACATTCGTGGGTTGCCTCCCACGCAGCGCCTGATTTAACGTCGCGACACGACGCAGGCTTGGAGCATCACTCCTCATTCGCATATTGGGGCTCTTCCAACATTATTATCTCTCTGTCCCCTTTCTCATTTGCCATTCCAAGGTAGTGTTTCAACCTCTGACCATTCACTGTGAACTTATTCGTCCCATCCTCTGGTTCAATCTCAACAGCTCCACTTGAGAACATTTGCACCACTCTAAAGGGTCCTGACCATCGGGACTTCAACTTACCCGGAAACAATCTCAATCTGGAGTTGTATAACAACACTATCTCTCCGGATTTGAAGTTTCAGTCCACGATGTGCTTGTCATGCATCAGTTTCATCCGTTCTTTATATAATCTAGCACTCTCGAATGCCTAGAACCTGAATTCCTCTAGCTCATGTAACCCAGTGACTTGACTCTGTTAGTGCCTGTTGTCTCCATGTCCAAGTTCAACTGCCGCAATGCCCAAATTGCTTTGTGCTCAAGCTGTACCGGGAGGTGGCATGCCTTTCCAAACACCAACTTGTACGGTGACATACCAATTGGAGTTTTGAAGGTTGTGCGGTACGCCCACAATGCATCATCCAGCTTCCTTGCCCAATCAGTCCTTGTTGCATTCACTGTTTTTGCAAGGACACTTTTAATCTCCCTGTTGGACACTTCAACTTGCCCGCTCGACTGTGGGTGGTACGGGGTGGTCACCTTATGACGAACTCCATACTTTTCCAACAGCCGTGCGAACGCTCTATTGCAGAATGTGTTCCGCCATCACTGAGTATAGCTCTTGAGGTGCCAAAACGTGTGAAAATGTTCTTCTTCGGAAAGCCTGTTACCCCT